TTCCTGCTCCTCTGATGCTGCTTGGCCTGCTGTGTTCATCCAGCTCTACACCTTGTTATCTTAAATACATTAGAAGTAGTTCAGAGAAGCTTTAGTAGACTAATACCTAGAATGGGTGGACCGTCTTGTAGGAGAATTTGGACTGGCCAGGCTTGTATCCCTTGAAGTTTACAAGAGTAAGAGGTTGTTTGATTGAAATATGCAAGATCTGAAGGAGTCTTGACATGGTAGATGTGAAGAGGATGTTTTCACTAATGAGAGAGTCTGGAATAGGGGTTACTGTTTCAAAAGAAAGTGTCCGCCATATAAAATAGATGAGGCAATTTCTTTTCTCAGAGGGTTGATACTCTTCCTGAAAAGGCAGTGGAAACAGAGCCTGAATATTTTTAAGGCAGAATGGACAGATGTTTGGTAAGCGAGGGGTGAAATTTAAATCAGCGTTAGGCATTATTGTGGATTTGGGGTCAAAAGTAGATGAGCCATGATCTTATTTAATGGAAGAACAGGCTTGAGGGGTCAAATGGCCTACTCCATTTTTGTATTTTCTTAGAAACCGATCCAGCAATATAAAAACTGCGGTTACAAGATTTAAGTCTGAGGCTAAGAATTCTGCAGTAAATATCTTCCCTCCTTTCTTTATCTGAGTAACTTAGCTACGTTCAAATTCAGACTTGGTTGGCATACTGTTCAATTGCTTGAATGAGTGCACATCCAAAACCATTCAAGCATCTTGAACCATCCAGGGCAAAACCATCTGCTTGATTGGTACCCCATCCATCACCTTCAACATTCACTTCCTTCATCACTGACATACAGTGGTAGCAGTGTGTACCATTTACAAGATGCACTGTGATGCATCTTCATGTCTCCTTTCACAGCACCTTCCCAATGTATGATCTCCACCATCCAGAAAGATAAATGCAGCAAATACCTGAAAATATCACCACGTGCAAATTCCCCTCAAAGCGACACACTTCCTGACTTGGAATTGTATTGTGTTTCTTCGCTGCTGCTAGGTCAAAATCCTGGAACTCAGTCTTCAACAGCACTGTTGGTATAGGTACACCCCAGGGAAAGCAGATCTCCTTCCAGAGAAATTACGGATTGGTATTATCTGTTGGTCTAGCCAGCAATGCCACATTTTTATTTATTCATCTGGCTAGGTCTTGCTTGCTAGGTCAGCACTTATTGCCCATCCCTAATTGCCCACAGGGCAGATAAGAGTCAACCACATTGCTGTGGGTCTGGAGTCACATGTAGGCCAGATCAGGTAAGGACGGCAGTTTCCTTCCCTAAAGGACATTAGGGAATGAACTGAATGGATTTTTCTGACAATCAACAATGGATTCATGGCCATCAGTACTATTAATTCCATTTTGTTTTTACTGAATTAGCAATCTACCATCTGCCATGGTGGGATTCAGCCAGGTCCCCAGAACATTACCCGTTATCTGGGTCTCTGGATTAACAGTCCAGTGATACTACCACTAGCCCTTTGCCTCCCATGAATAAAAGTAGGCTTTCTGCAACCTGGCCTATCCTTGCATGATTCTCACATGTCTACACCTTTCTGCAAGGGCGAATAGATTGATTGCGTGGATCCTTTTGCTTTGCTTTTAGCTTTTGCAGCACTTGCACCCTTATTTCCCTAGCTATTTTGCAACACTAGTGAATGGGTTTATGATCCACACCAGATCTGCATTTCAGCAAAAGCCATCATGAGAATGGAAGCTGTCAATTTCTGGGAGTCATACTGACACTTATAGGAACTTAGGAAAATAGGAACAGAAGTAGGATATTCAGCCCCTCAAGTCTGTTCCACCATTCAGTGAGATCATGTCTGGTCTGTGGCCTAATTCCATATATCTACCTTTGGCCAATATCCTTTGATACCTTTGCTTAACAAAAATTTTACTGTTTCAGATTTAAAATTAACAACTGATCCAGCATCCATTGCTGTTTGTGGAAGAGAGTTCCAAACATCTACCACATGCATCAGGGCATCTGGCTGTGAACTGAACTGCAACAGTTGCCCCAAAAATATACTGGGGTTGTGGATAGTGGAATTTGGTGAAAAAATTAGAACTTCTCTTGCTGCTAACATTGGACCTGCTCCTCAGAAGCAGTGTCAGCAAGATAAAAGAATAGGAGCAAATTACTGCAGATGCTGGAATCTGTGCTGAAAACAAAAAAACGCTGGAAATCATGGGTTCAGGCAGCATCCGTGGAGAGAGAGCAAGCTAATGTTTCGAGTCTAGATGACTCTTCATCAGAGCTCCATAAAGATAAAAGGATGTTGACATTAACTCAACAATGTGAGGATGGAAGGGAGATGTGAGATGGGAACACATTGTCACCAGAGCGTTTAGTGAGGGGGATCTCTGATTAGCATTGTTCCACTCTACACTAGTAACATGATATAACGAGATAAGAACGTAAGATGTAACAGCAGGCGTCGGTCATTGGCAGTTTAAGCCTGTTCTGCCATTCAGTATGATTGTGGACAACTGTCTGCTCATTTGGAGAAATGGGCAGAAGGGCACTCTGCAGCTGGCTGGTTGAACTGTGTGCTGCTAGGCTAAGATGGTACCCAAGGGAAGGATCTATCTTGACAGGAGTCAAGTGACCACTGCTTAGGAGTTTAAACACTGAAAAAGTTTGACTTTTCTGCCTAATGTAACTACAGCTCTTTAATTTAAAAATAAATTGTATACTGAGGCAACTATGTGCAAAACTGGTATAGAAGGTCTATTTTGACAGTTTCATGGTAGTATCTTTTTATAGTCTGAGCTTAACATGAGACTTTTGATGTACTTTACAATAAAATCTTAAGACTATTCAGTGCTTTTAATATATAATAGACAAGTAGATGATTGTGGAGTTAACTGGTCAGCGTACTGATTCCTAGGTTCAAGCCTATGGAGATTAATTAGATCAAGGGCTGCTTTGTGTCAGTCCAGCATGAAATGCTGGTTCAATAAAAGATTAAACTACAGGTTAATTCAGACATTTTATGTTGAGTTACAGGAGTAATGTTTCTTATCTTTTGCAGATGCTGACTGTTCACAGATAGCGGGCAATGAATGGTACTTTGATCCCAAATACTCCATTTGCTGTTGATTTCTGGCAGGTTCGGAAGTGCAGCCATGTCCGTTTTTTCTTTCTTTCCCACTTGCACAGTGACCATACATCAGGTCTGTCCTCCACCTGGTGCAGACCAATATACTGCTCTCCCGTTACTGCCAAGTTGTTGCATTGGAAGTTTCAGGTAAGGCAAAGAGGTGAGGATTTCAGTGTTCTGTCTTTCTTTTTCTGTCATAAAGATAGTCACCCAGCCTGTGATATAATCCCCACATGCTCTATTAGCCCCTCTAGTACTTCACACAGAAAAACTGTTTATGCCTGTGAATTCTGACTGTTAAGTACAGCCAAGCCATTGTCCAAATGATCTGTTGATCTTCTGTTTCAGAAAGCACAGATTTACCAACCCCTGTTCACACAGTTAGATTTTCTGTGACATGAGTTATCAAGAGAAATGTGCATTCTCTTTACTCCAAAATATTTCATGCCACCAGTAATGCATGTAGGGGTATAAAATAGCTGTCTCAGATCCAAGCAGCTCCCTGCCCTGTATTCTTTTTTTAAAAGATCTTCTGAGGATGTGGGTGAGCTGGCAATATTTATTGTCCTTCTCTATGTACCCTAAAGTCATTAAAACTCAACAACATAGTATGGCATTTAAATCACATATATAACAGGCCAGGTGGGGACAACACCTGAAATACATCAGTGAACTAGTTGAATTGGTAAAACTAAGGGGGTTTTCTTGTGGTGCAGTGGTAATGTCCCTACCTCGAACCAAGATGCCCTGGTTGAAGTCCCACCTGCTTCAGAGGTGTCTAATAGCATTCTGAACAGTTGATTAGAAAAGTAGGTTAATTTAAAAAAGTGTTAAAACTATGCAGCACCGTTTTATTTTGCTACCAGCTCACAAATGCCAATATTTATTAAACTCCATTTTACACTGTGCTGTGGCGGGTTGTAAACACAGATCTCTGGGCTACTAATTTAATACCACAGTTGTAAGACCATTGCAGTGCCTATCATTCTTGTCCCCTCACCTTGTTTACTTTTCCTTGGCCACGCTTTTTCCTCCCATCTCACCTAGATGCCATCTGCTTTTTCCCTGCATTTCCAGGTTCCTTTGTAGATCTTGCTGAGAATCACATTACAGCATCCTATTTATTCCACCCAAACCCTTTATTTCTCTTTTCCTACAGTTTTTCATTCCACTGTACTGAAATTGCCATGGGACGCTCATATTTGCTCCAAATCTCACTTCAGCCTTTTGAGACTTTTTCTGGAATTTTGACTGTCACTTTTGAAGATGTTGGCCTTCATTATCATGCCTAGCTCCTCTTCAGAATTTTCCTTGTCTGTTTGCATAAGGCTCATGGATGTTTTCCTCATTAAAATATTCTCCTTTGTGCCCATTCTCAGTTTTTGTACTGAGGTGTTCCTTCATCCTTAGTAATTCTGAGTTCCATCTTCCCTATCATAATTGATTTACTCATCCCTTTCAACTTCACTTCCAGACTGACTCCTCTAACATGTCACCACCCTCTGACTTTGTTACCAGACAAGCCCTTTTGATTGTCCAATTCTCTCATTGATTAGATTCCCTCAGACTATTTCAATTTTCCCCTCTTACATTTTCCTCATTGCCTGATCTTGCACCCTTTTCACAAAATGACTGCTTCCAAACCTTTTCAAATTCCAACTTCCCTCTTTCTGGTTTGCCATTTGCTATAATTTACAGTTTTCTAAAGCTCTATAATTGCTCTGGCTAGTAACCTCATTGTCACTTGATCCTCATAGGTCAGAACTCCATACCTTGATAAAACACCCACACCTTATTTAAGCTCAGATGTATCTGGTTTGTAAATTGTCTAGTACTGCACTATGAGATCAGCTTTGAACCCTTTGTTATTTAAAGTTGGGTGATTTCTTCTTGGCTAAGTGCATTTATTACTTGCTGAATTAATCCAAGCATTTCTAAACTGTTAATTACTACTACTTGTCACCTTATCCCTTTCTCAGTCTCCCCCATGATGCCTTTTTCTTTTACATTTTGCGTGGACTATATCTTTGGATTAGGTCTGTCAAAAATAAAAATTATTTGCATTATTGTCTCTGCCTCTGACTGACATGTATCCTGGCCTTTTCATCCCAGCTACAATGATCTACCCCTCCCTTTAACCAACGTGTAATATTTTTTCATTTTCCCCTTAAGAAGCTGATCTCATTTGTGAAGTTTCATTATCTGCCTTGACCTGTTTGTTTTTAAATTTTTTGTTAGGTGGATGAAATCTGGATCCACCCATTGGAGTTAGGGGACAGCCACCTCTTAAATCTGGATGAAGTTGGAAAAGAGACCATGACTGTGACATTGATTGATAGCAATCACTGCCCTGGCTCTGTCATGTTTCTTTTTGAAGGTTATTTTGGTACAGTTCTGTACACAGGTATGACAGATATCTTTGAAACGTATGTTGTGATAATCTATTCATTTTGTTGTAGATTATTTACAAACGCATCAGTTGAAAATTGAGTTAAGTTTATTTTATATTGCTAACTGTGACACAAGGGACAAATTAGAGTTTTGTTTTTGTGTGTTCATGGCATGTGTGTGGCTGGCCAGCATTTATTGTCCTTTCCTAGATGTCCCAGAGAAGGTGGCAATGAACTGCCTTTTTGAACTTCTGCAGTCCTTCTGATGTATGTACACCCACAGTACTGTTGGGAAGGGAATTGCAGGATTTTGACCCAGTGAAGGTGAAGGAATGGCTATATAGTTCCATGTCATGGTAATCATCCCAGTCTAAGAATGGTGTACGGCTTGGTGGGGAACTTTCAGGTGGTTACGTTCCCATGTATCTAATGCCTTGTCCTTCTAGGTGATAGAAGCTTGTGTTTGAATGGTGCTCGTCAAGGACCCTTGGTAAGTACACAGAGATGATGCACAGGCTGCTTCTGTCGATGGTGGAGGGGATGTGGTGTCAGTCAAGAGAACTGCTTTGTCATGAATAATGTTGAGCATCTCAAGTCTTGTTGGAGCTGTACTCATCTAGGAAGGTGGCGACTGTTCTATTCCTGTCTTATGCTATGTAGATGCTGGACAGGCTTTGAAGAGTCGGGAGATGAGCTACTTGAAGTGTAGTCTTTACTCTGTGACTGGTCATGTAGGCAAAGTGCTGATATGGCTGGTCCAGTTCGGTTTCTGGTCAGTAATAACCCTTCAGGATGTTAATAGTGGGGGTTTTAATGATGGTAGTGTCATTGAATGTCAAGGAGAGATGATTCAATTCTTGCTTGTTAGAGATGGTCATTGTCTAGTGTTTTGTGTGATGCACATATTGTTTGTTACTTATCGACTCAAATCTGGATATTGTTCAAGTCTAGTTGAATATGCATATGGGCTGCTTCATTACCTGAAGACTCATGAATGTTGTTAAACATTGTACAATCATCTGTGAAAATCTCTACTTCTAACCTGATGATGGAAGCTGCTGAAGATGATAGTGCTTAGGACACTACTTTGAGGAACTGGCCTAGTGGTATTATCACTAGATTATTAATCCAGAGATACAGGGAATGTTCTGGCGCCCAGACTCCAGTTTGTCAGATGGTGAGATTTAAATTCAATAAAAATCTGGAAATTAACAGTCTATTGATGACCATGAAACAGTTGCTGATTGTCAGGAAAACTCATCTAATTCACTAACGTCCTTTAGGGAAGGAAATATGCCATCCTTACCGGTTCTGGTCTAGATGTGACTCTAGATCCACAGCATTGTAGCTGACTCTTGCTGCCCTCTGGGCTATTAGGAAAGTGTATTAAATACTGGCCTGGCCAGCGATGTCCGCGTCCCGTTTAAAAAAAAAATTCTGCTGTAGCTAATGACCAACACTATCTCGTAGTTGTCCAGTTTTGAATTGCTAGATCTGTTCAAAATTTATCACATTTAGCACAATGATGGTCCCAGTCAACATAATGCAGTGTATCCTCAGTTTGAAGATGGGACTTCACCTTTACAAGGACTGTGCAGTAGCTATTTCTATCAATATTGTCTTGGATGATAGCTCTGTGACAGCTTGATTGATGAGATGAGCTTGAGTAGATTTTCCCTGTTGTAGGTTCCCTCACCACTTGCAGCAAACCCAGCAGACATGTCCTTTGAGTTTTCACCAGCTCGGTTAGTAGGAGTGCCACTGAGCCACTTGTGATGATGGACATTGAAGTCTGCCACCCAAGAATACACTTTGTGTTCTTGCCACCTTCCGTTGGTGGAGGGATACTATTTAATTGAAACACACAATGGTAGTAGGTAATTGATGGTTATCAGTTGCTTTCCTTGTTCATGTTGGACCTGATGCCTGGAGATTTCATGGAATCTGGAATCAATGTTAAGGACTACCAAGATGGCAATTCCCTCCCCACCCTGGGAATGGTCATGATGGGAGCTGGGACATTGTAAGGTATGATTTTTGTGAGTGTTACTACGTCAGGCTGCTGTTTGACCAGTCTGGGAGACACCTCTTCCAATCTTGACACAAGCCCCAAGATTTTAATAAGGACAGAGCTGTGTATGCCATTGTTGCTTCCATGAGGTACATCCAGTTTTATTCCTTTCTTACTTGGTTTGATGCAACTGAGTAGCTTACTGAGCGAGTTCAAATGATATTTCTGAGTCAGTCATGTTGCGTGTGGTTCTGCAATCACACATAGGTCCAATCTCTTCTGTTAGTGAACCAGATTTGTGACAATCGACAATGATTTAATGGTCACTATTAGACTGGCTTTAATTCTAGATGTATTCATTTAGTTGTAAATCCCACAGTGACCATGGTAGAATTGAACCCATGTTTCTAGAGGAATAGCCTGGACATTACCATTATACCATCATCTCCATTGGTTAAAATTCCTATCTGAGCTATGTTGAGAAGGAAGGCATTAATTGGAGACTGCTATGTCATTTTGTAGAAGAAACATGGGGAAATACGTGAAAGCAATCGGTTTGCCTCCTCTCACGAGGCTGTCTAAAGTTTAAAAACTGAAACTTCCTAAAAAGTGCAGAAATACAGTATTTACATTTTAATGCAGTTTGAATGTTTGAAATCCAGTGGCTACAGAGAGTTTTACTTCTATGTACTTCAAAAATGAATGTTCTTTTAATTCTACTTGAAGCTGTCAGAAGACCTTTACTGGAGCTAGCAAGCAAAACATCTCAAGTTGCCACTCCCATTTAATTTGAAACTTGTTCAGTTTGGTCAAACACAAGGACCGTTATACTTTTCTATTACCCCTTACAATATAACGAAAATTCCAGTCCTTTTATTCACCTCAGCAGGGCTGGAAAATATTAGTTTCCATGAAAGGATTTTCCTGAAGTTGTCTGGCTTAGCTTTTCAGCTTGCCAAAATAAGACAAGTTATTCAAACTTTCATCCTAAATAAATCCCTAGAAGTATGTAAGACACACCCTTAGGAGGGGAGATAACTGGCCAGGAAAGGATTTGTAAAAGGGATGCAGCTGGATAGCACAGGCATAAATAAAAGGGAGGTAAACAGTTAATTTTAAGCATTCTTTTGCAGATCACTGCAGCTGGAAGTAATTGAATGCCTTTGGTGAATCAAATTTTTCCAGCATTGCTGAATGTTGACTCAAGAAACCATGTAGAAAAGTCATGGTATCCTTTGCAGATTTTCTACTCAAAAACTTGTTGAGTAGACGGAAAGGAAAAAGTAACCAGTTAGCTATGGCAGATTACAATGCCCTGCAGCTTGTAGTCTACAAATGTTGTCTTCCTTGTTTATTAATGCATTCTTTTTATTCATTGGTTAAACATTGTTTCAGGAGCTCCACCTGGTGGCTCAACAGGCCACTGTACTAGGTGATGTGGCATCTGCTTGATCCTCCAGTTAGCTGATCTCAACCAGTCAAATTGCTGGCATTTTATAACTGACATTTTCCCATTGGCTGTGCAAAGGAAAATTCGACATTCTCCCCCTCTCCACCCCAACCCTCACCCTGTTGCAAAAGTCTTAAGTATTGCAGGAAAATGCACTTGTTTGTTGGTTTTGGACATGATTTGGCTTGATGGTGATGCCCTCTATGGTCAAATAGCTTGATTACTTCACTACCTGAACCGACAGGTCAATTGAGTAAACAACCAGAAGATGATTAATTACTGTCCAAAAGAAAAAACTCAGAGTATCACAGTGGGGTTAAGTGAAAAAATTTAAAGAAGGTGAAATTTACCTTAAAAAGAACAATGGTTACTTTTTTTGCCTTCCAAAAGGTACATAGTTAAATAGAGTGAAATATGTACACTGAAGATTACTATGATATTTCCTAGTTTCATTTTAGTTTTTCTTTTAAAAGTAATAATCCTCATCTATTTAAAAAGCTGTGATGGTTTCTGTTTTCACCACTGTTTTTGGTAGGATATTTCATTGTTAGCTTTAGTAATTCTTGTACATAAAAAGAAACTTGTCTCTGGCATGGTTATTTTAACTTGTGCCCTTTCAATGCGCTCAAATCTTTTGATCTCCAGAATACCGGAAACCAGATACACAACCCAAGATGCATTTTGAGATCCTAAGGAAGTCCCTAAGTGACCTATGTGGAAATTTCTCAGTAAAACTGAACTCCCGATATGCTATTTCCCTACTATCCAAGTCCTCTGCAAAATTGGAGTTTTTGGAGACAGTTCCAATGTTACTTGTCCAGCTGCTTACCCAGGAAGTGTTGGGCAGAGAAATTCTCATCTAATTACACTATCACAGTTCCGTCCTGTTACCTGCATACCTGCTCACCTATTCGCTAACATTTACACTGAGCATTTAATATAGTGACAGCTAGTGACATCAAAAAAAAAGTGGTGTATCTTGTCTCCTGTTCGATGCTATAGCAAACTGACTGAGTTCTTGGATGGTTGCTGCACTCTGCATTTCTGAAGAAGACAGGCTCTGAATACCTAATCAGAAACGTGGAGCAACATCAGAGCCTGGAAAAGTAGGAGTAGGGCAGAAATTGATGATTGGCACTCTGTGGAATATCTGAGCCCTTGTTTTAACTGCAGCAAAAATGATAGCTTGTCCATTTAATGGTGCCTTGGCATTTTCTCCAGAACATCTAAATGTCTTTTATATAATCTATATTATGTTTAAAACAAGAACAGTGTTTTAAAAGCAGTAAGACTGTGCTATTTTTCTAAGTCTGTAGATTAAGGTACAGAGATGGCCATTATTAGAATGGTGTGCTATTTCTGTCAGAATTGGGAGATTAGGGTGAATTTCAAAGTTTCTCATAATTATGACTGCAGGAAGAATGTTTTGTTGCAAATCCTATTGGATTGCGTGGATTGGCTGGAGTGGCAGTTAGAAGCAATGAGAAATTTACAAGAACCACGGGGTGTGATGGATGGCAGTTTAAGCAAGGTAGAAAAACCATAGATACAGT